GATGATGTTCCTCTCTATGCTAATAAAGTGGGTCCCTACCACAATCCGAGGTATTCATCCATCTTGCTTTTCCATCTCAACTCAAATCAACTCTCAATTTTTAGCTTTCAATCTGACTTTTGCTTTGATTCACAGTGAGACCTACCGTTATTTCGATTTCCCGTTCTGTTCCTCAGGTTTGATCTCATTTCGCGTCTATTTCTATTTTTTAGTTTTAAATCTGTTTTTTGAGAGTTCTAAATTGAGTAATTTGAGGGTTTGCTCTGCACTTTCAGCACCCGTGAAGGAGAAGAAGGAAGCTTTGGGTGAAGTCTTGAATGGCGATCGCCTAGTGAGTGCCCCTTACAAACTCGTGTTTTTGACCGAGAAAGAGGCTGAGATTGCCTGCAAAAGGAAGCTTACTAAGAAAGAAGTCGCCAAGTTTCGAGCTGCCATCTCAAAAGACTATTACTTCCAAATGTACTACGACGACCTTCCCATTTGGGGTTTCTTAGGGAAAGTTGATAAGGAAGGCAAGGCCGACCCATCCGACTACAAATATCATCTCTTTAAGCATCTCATTTTTTAGATCCATTACAACAAGGATCGTGTCATTGAGGTTACTGTTCGATCTGATCCCAACGCACTTGTGGACCTAACGGAAGATGAACCGATTGATGTAGATTTCATGTACACCGTTAAATGGAAGGAAACCAACACTCCTTTCGAGAATAGAATGGACAAGTACTCGCTGTCTTCTTCCTTGCCACGCCATCTCGAAATCCACTGGTTCTCCATCATCAATTCATGTGTCACCGTTTTGTTATTGACTGGTTTCCTGGCCACCATCTTATGCGAGTTCTTAAGAACGATTTCGTCAAGTACGATTCATTTCCATCTGTATTTGATGCATGATAATCCATATCTAATTCTTAAGTATACTTGGTTTTGTTTTTAAATAGGTATGCACATGATGACGAATCTGCGGATGACCAGGAGGAGTCTGGGTGGAAGTATATTCATGGTGATGTGTTCAGGTTCCCCAAGAACAAGTCTATGTTTGCGGCAGCTCTTGGTTGCGGCACCCAGCTCTTTACTCTGTGAGTATCATCCACCGAAGCTACTTGTCTTTTTGTTTCCGAGCAATCTGTTGACTGTTATTCATTTGCTTCCTTTTCCAGTACAATTTTCATTTTTATCCTTGCTTTAGTTGGGGCCTTTTATCCATATAACCGAGGAGCTCTTTTCACTGCTCTGGTGGTCATTTATGCCCTTACATCTGGAATTGCTGGCTACACTGCAGCGTCTTTCTACAGTCAGCTAGAAGGAACAAATTGGGTGTGTAGTACTGGTCTCTCTCACTGTTTCCTCTATGTGAAAACGTGTTGCAAAAATTTGAATTTCTTTTCGGTCATTTCTGATGACTGTTCGTACCCTTCTTCATGACAGGTGAGAAACTTATTACTGACTGGAAGCTTGTTTTGCGGGCCTCTTTTTGTCACATTTTGTTTTCTGAATACCGTCGCAATTGCTTATAAAGCCACGGCAGCATTGCCGTTTAGAACCATTGTGCTGATTCTTCTCATATGGGCTCTAGTCACATCACCTTTGTTAGTAATAGGAGGTATTGCTGGGAAGAATAGGAAGGAAGAGTTTCAAGCCCCTTGTCGCACTACAAAATATCCTAGAGAGATCCCACCATTACCTTGGTACCGAAAAACTCTTCCACAAATTGCAATGGCAGGGTTCTTGCCATTCAGTGCGATCTATATTGAACTTTACTACATATTTGCCAGTGTGTGGGGACATAGGATCTACACCATATACAGCATCCTGTTTATTATCTTTATCATTCTTTTGATTGTCACTGCATTTATTACCGTGGCTTTGACTTACTTTCAACTTGCTGCTGAAGACCATGAATGGTGGTGGAGGTATGTTGTTTTTAGCCTTCTGATATGCATAAATGCATGCATTCATAAGATCTCACAGAAAACATGTGTTGACATATAGACCCAGTGCTGCTTGACGAATATTTTAACTTTTCTCATATTATTCTTGTAGTTTACTATCTGTATGTATGTTTGTTGTTTGTTGCATGGTGTGGCATGGCAATCTTTGACTTTGCATAACTTCTTGTTATATAGATGGATTTCCGATATCATATGTTGTAATAGTTCTCTCCTCCAGAATTCAGAATCACAATCTCAATTTGTATTGTTTCATAGCCAAAATATGAGAAACCTGACCCAGTTTTCTGTCTATCTTGGATCATTTGTGGAATTGTTTATATGAATCATTTTATGACTAACCAACATTCAGATACCATCTCGAGTGCGTCTTGTGGGGGTAATCAGCCGATCTTAACTGATATTTTATTTGGTCTATCAGGTCCTTCCTTTGTGGTGAGTCTACCGGGTTGTTCATATACGCATACTGTTTGTATTACTACGTAGCCCGGTCAGACATGTCAGGCTTCATGCAAACCTCATTCTTCTTTGGTTATATGGCTTGCATTTGCTATGGCTTCTTCCTCATGCTTGGGGCCACTGGCTTCCGTGCATCTCTGCTCTTTGTCCGACACGTCTACCGTTCTATCAAGTGTGAGTAGGAAATGGGATGGTCTCCCTCTCTTGCTTGATCGGAACCAAGTTGAATAGTTAGTTTATCAAAAGATTATACAATGATTATGAAAATGCAGACCGGAAACTCATGCATGCAAGCTTGGGGTGTTATTGCCGCGTTGTATGAAATATGGATCATCTAAACCTTACTTGATGCCAACAAAAACTTGTATTTCTCACTTCACTCATTCCCTTCTTGTTATTGGGATACACAGTTTAGGAAGAACTTCTGTTAATGCGATGCTTTAAGAACAATAACAAATGTCTTCATTTTGCAGTCTTGTGTCCGCGTATTGTGCTGGCGACTGATTAACAATGAGCACTTTACTTTCTCTCTTATTTCAATTATTATACTTTCAATTTTTTTAATTTACTCACTGAACTTTCGAATTGTTCTTGTTTTGGTCACTACAAATTATTTTATTATTATTTTAGTATGATGTGGCATTTTTTATTATTAAAATATAAAAATAATTTAAAATAAATAATAAAATAATATTTTCACTTCTCCATCATTGACCACCGTTCTCAGAACCAATTATCGTTTGATCTCAAATTGTACAGAGAGACTCGCTTTGACATGCCGAGCTTGAATTTTGATGGTCATTTCATCGAAAAATATCCCAAAACCCGTGAATCTCAATTGAAACATTTCGATTTTCTTATTTTTCATCTCAGGGGATCAAGGTGAAGTGACTCATGAAATCTGAGACCGAGCAATCACCATCTAAGAACGATGGTTGATGTTTTAGTTTTCTCACTTTTGATCGAATTTGGAGCATGTTCCGACAAAATGAAGGTCGAATTTAGACTTAGGAGGTTGAGAAAAAGTGATTGATGAAATCTAGGACCGAACGACCACCATCTACGACATCGATGGCGGCGTCCAATGCCCGTGAACAGTGGACGACCATCTTCTATTTTTATTTTAAATTATTCTTATATTCAATAATAATAATAAAAATTTATGGCATACCAAAATAATAATAAAAAAAATTTAGAGTAACCAAAACATTTGAAAGTTAACTGAATAAATTGGAAAATTTAAAACATATTGAGTGAAATAAAAAAAAATCAGTAAAAAAACGATATAGTTTAACCAAAACAAAAATATAAATCAATAAACCAAAATCAAAGCTTAGAACATGTACATAAACTCTAATCTTATATTTAGGGTTTGAATGTTTCTTATCCAATGATATCTTGACACTTAAGGATTACGAAATCTTAGCTTTAAAGCGATAATGAATATATAATTGGATCTTTGAGACTCAAGTTTAATTTTCCCTTTATTTAAATATTTTTAATATATTTTCTCATCACACACACTTTTTTATATTTAAAGATTTTGTTTAGCATGTTTTTATACCATATACTTTTCATTTTCAAAACATTTAAAATATTTATGTTGCGTAAAATTTTAATTAAATTGATATCATAAATTAATTGAACTCTAATTCATTTAATAGTATATAGAGAATTCAGTGATATATAATTTATTCAAAACCATTTGAAGATTAATTTTGTTATATAATTGTATATTATTTTTTGAAGAACATTTTTATTATTTAAAACCAAATATGGTTATGGCTCAAGTGGTAAGAGATAAATAATAAAATATTTTAAAATATTAAAATCTTTGAAAGCTAATTTCCATGTTCTAAATTAATAAAGTTGATTAAAATAGTTCTATTTAAAAGTACTAATTTAAAGATAAAAATAACTATTTCATATTATCAAGATAAGATCATTTGTTTCTGTTAAGAATTCAAGTATTGTATTAATAGATTAAAGGTTTAAACATTTTGTTAATAGATTAAACAATTGTTAATTTATATTTTCAATTAAATTTAAATAAATTTATATAATTGCATTAAATGGAAATTCATGATATCATCTCTAACGACTTACTTTGATTTTCTTAAACGGCGGTGGGAGAACATTATCCAACAAGATAAAGTATTAAAACAACAAGGGTAAGCTATGCAAATATTCCCCTTATGTTTTCGGTAATGATGAACTTTAATCATTAATTTAAAAATTAAGGGAGAGTGATACTTAAAGTTATAGATTAGTTCGATTTTAGTCTTTAATATTATCGATTCATTCGATATTAGTCTCTCAGTAATTAAATCTCGTTCGATTTCAGTTCCTAAGCCATGTTAGAGACTTAAATAAAAGGGGTTAACGAAAATTAATGGCTGACGGATTAAAATCGAATGGATGGATAATGTTAGAGACAATTTTCTCTGAATTTTTAAAATTGGTGATCAAAATCGGACAGACCCTAAACATAGGGGATCATCCGCCTAATTTGCCCAAACAACAAATCAATGTATTATGATGATAATAATAATAATATCTCGAGCTACGGTTGTACAATTCCTTTCAGGTTGTTGTCTTTGATGCCAGGGTAATGAAGGGGAAATGTAAATAAAGAAAAAAAATCACAGAAAATGTTTCTGTAGTTTGGAGAAATTCCCAGATCTGTGATTGAAGAGAGCAAACGGAAAAGGATGAAAAGTTGATAGTGTTTATGATGTTAGGAGCGGTGCAATTGGGAGCAGCGGCGGCGTGCGTGGTGGTTTTAATCCCGATGGGAATGGCCGGTTGGCATTTGAGCCGAAACAAGGTGCTCTTTTTCAGCGGCGCCCTTTTCATTTCTCTAGCCATTTGCGTCCATTTGACTCCCTATTTCCCTTCGCTCCCCGAATTCGTCAACTCCGTTTCTTCCGTCGTAGTCTTCGATCCCCGCACTTCGTGCACCAATTTGGTCAACGACATTTCTTGGCAAGTCAACCCCAAAAACGCTTCTTCCCGTTTTCACATCAACGCCACCGACGATCTCGATTTGTACGATAAGCGCTGGGACTGGTCCGGTTCCCACAAGCTCAAAGCTTGCGACTTTCAGAAATTGTCTAGATCCGATGCTTCCGATTTGTTAAACGGATCCTGGGTGATCGTCGCCGGTGATTCGCAAGCTCGATTGTTCGCCCTCTCTTTGTTGAGTCTGGTTTTTGGGTCCGAATTCCAACGCATGGATTCGGTCAGAGCCGATTTGTTCAAGAGGCGTAGTGATTACAGCATTTTAGTTGACGAAATCGGTATGAAAATGGATTTCGTTTGGGCGCCTTACGTTGTGAATTTGACCGATTTGATCACTGATTACAAAACCCAAAAGAGCTGCCCTGATGTTATGGTCATGGGGGCTGGTCTTTGGGACATGCTTCATTTCAACAATACATCAGATTATGAGTTTGCCTTGCGGATGTTGAAAAGTAAAGTAGTTTCTTTGTTGCCATTGTCGACTGAGTTGCCCATGAATGAACCAGTAGTTGGTTCAGTCCCCATCAAGTCATCCTCCCATTTGTTTTGGCTCGGCATGCCGGTGCTGATCAATGGGATGTTGAATACAGAGGAGAAGAGGGAGAAGATGAGCGATGCAGTGTGGCATGCTTACGATCGAGCACTCGGCGATAGTAAGCTATTACGCCAAACCGGCGGCCCTCTGCATTTGCTGGATTCCCAGTCATTGACTTGGAATTGTGGTCCGCGTTGTACATCCGATGGTATGCATTATGATGGAGCTATCTATGAAGCTACCGTTCAGATAATGCTAAATACATTGCTTATTGAATCTCATCAGAGGCTTTGATTATACCTATGATTTCCCAGGTTTTCTCCCCTGCTTTGGATTAACACACAAGTAAGCTTTTTGTATGGCAAAAATTCTTTTCCTTTCATATTTTTGAAAACCGAATATACATTTGTTTATATACTATAGATTGATTAATACACTTTGTACGATTCACCTCTAATTTTGTTTTGTCCAAACTTGATGGTTGTACCATCTTGGATACATTTTTTATAGTAGCAGCGACCGAGTAGATCGACATTGGCTTATATAGTGTTTGTGCATTTATGTAAAGAAGGATTAGTGATGAAGACATGATTACAGTAGGTGAAGCATTACTAGTAGCCGAGTGGTTCAAGTACCTAGGGGCAATATAATTCAGAAAGATAGAGAGTGATGTAGAATTGTGACAAGAGTTTTGTGTAATCGAAATCTACCTATGAGTTTTAAGGTAAAGAGCTATAGGAAAATTTTGAGGGACCTACTTTGCTATATGGTACAGGATATTGGGGTAACAAGAAGCGACATATACGAGTGTAACCGAGACACGGATGTTAAGATGGGTGTATGGCAATAATTAAGGAGATAGTTAGAAATGAGGATCTCTATCTCAAAGTGGTTTGGCGTCGCAAGGACGTGGTCACATTCTAGTGAGTAATTTTGGGATCGGTACCCAGACTAGTACCAATATTACGAGGGAGAAGTATCAATACCAAGGTAGGGGTATCGATACTAAATTCCTCATATACTTTTAAATATTGGTTTTCATTAAATAAAATACACTAACAGTTATTAAATATATCTAAATAGTCATTTTGATTATTAAAATTTTAAAAGTTATGAAATATTATTAATTTTATCAAATTGTTATAAAATACTCATTATTTTTTGTTATGATGAGTGTAAAATTATAACATTTCTAATGATTATTAATAAAAATTTAATAAAATTTAATAAATTATTCATTTAGTACTTAAACTATCAGTTTTGGTCAATCTTAGTACCTAAATTTTTAATTTTTTCAAAATCACACCTAACGTTTATTTTTCATTTCCTTTTAGTACCACGCCGTTAAAAAACTTAAAGCTGTAGCACTTAAACTATCAATTTTTGTCTGTTTTAGTACCTAAATTTGCACTTTTTAAAAACAAAACTTAATATTAAATTTTGAACGAGGTACTAAAATGAAACAAAAACTAAACTTTAAGTATGATTTTGAAAAAAATGAAAGTTTATGCATTAAAATGGATAAAAATTAATAGTTTAAGTACTAAACGTGTAATTTACCCTAATTTGTAATAAACTAATAAAATTTAATGATTATTTTATAATAATTTTATAATTTCAATGATTATCTTACGACTTAAAAAAAATTAACGAACAAAACAGTTTCTTAAGTATAGTTTAATGATATACCTATCATTTTTTTTATTTGTGAACATAACTGATTTAGGTAGTTGTATATTTATTAGCAAAAATCAAGATTAAAATCTTACCAACTATCCAATTTTATCTCATTAAGATAAATAATTCACTCTGATTAAATAAAAAAAACAATACTGTTTATTTCATATATATTCCTTTTAGTTTACTTCATGAGAAAAACAAGTACTTTAATAGGTCGCCGCCGGCTGGAACATCTCGCTTTATTTTCAAAACCCCAAAAGCTCTGAGGTAATCTCTTTCCTTGTATTTCAGTCACTTTTGTCATGACTAGTTCACTTTTTTACCGCCACTCTGCCCCTTTTCAATCAGAATAATTGAGGATGAAGATATTTTGCTTTTGTGTCTACTTGGGTGTGTGAACTGCACAAACACTCGGGTCCTTTTCACCTTCTTGACTTTTGTTTTTTGGGTTCTTTGGCATTTTTTGGATATATTTTTGATGTTACTGTCCAAAACCCAGTTATTTTCTGTATCTTTTCTGTGTGTTTGTGGTTAGTTTATGTCCCATGGCTTCCTGGAACTCGGCTTTTCTTTTATGGTTTAAGAATTTCAGGAGTATTTTTCAGGTTAGTGGAATTTATAATCGTTGACTTGAAATTTTCATCTTATGGTCGTGATAAATATATTACTTTGTATATAGCTGATAATGTTCATTCAATGGGTTTCCCCCTTTTTTCACAGCTATCATGTTCTTAGTCTACTGTTTCTGCTTGATCTGGTTGTTTCCTCGTATTTCCATTTTTCCTATATAATTGGTTTATGCCTTTAGATTTGCAGAACATTAGTCCTTATGAATCATTGTGATTTGTGAGTGATTATGTTATGTTTTCTAGTTTCTCTTATTGGCATCTAAACCTTGGAATCTGGACTGTGTTCGAACTGTTTGTGAGAGTATTTCATCATGTTCGAAGTGTTATATTATACCTTCTGAAACTAAAGAACGGTGATTTTCTAATTCATACAAGTTTTAGTACCTATTACCATAAGTTTCACCGCACTAAGTTTTTGGAATGAAATTGGAATTTAATTATAACTTACAATAACTTCGTCATAATTTCTGAATCCTGACCTAATTTTCACCGTCTTTCGCAAAGGTTATCAGTTGTTAGATTCTGATAATTTGATGGAGCATTATATGGGTTTTGGGCTTTTGTTTTGTTGACAGAAATTGATGGTTGAGGTTAATTATTCAATTCTTGGCAGTAAGTTTTTTGTTTTTTTGCATTCAAATTTCAGTTAGTTTTCTCTGTTCAGCTAAGACTGAAGAATTCTTTGGTTGAAATGCATATCAATATCAATCATTTCTAAGATCTTCTCTTAAGATTGACTAAAGGTTGGACGTGACCTTTTTTGAAAAATTAGAATCGTCTTTGATGCTGACATATTACTTTGTGTCTATGTATGCCGGAGATCCTAGGATAAGTGATGGTTTAGCTGGTTATTTACTATGAGAATTTTGTTATTGATTGTTTCATGGTATGTTCAAGCCATATTGAATTGGGAATTTCGATATCGTCTTTCATACGTAGAAGCCATCCATCTCATGAGTTTTATGCTTTCTGTGTTAATTAGGGAATGGGAAAGTATGGTTGGACTATTGGGTTGAGTTAAAATAGTCCCCATTCTTTATATTTTTCATCTATCGTGTTGATGGCTGCTATTCTAGTGCCTCAAACATAAATTTATTATTTTTATAGGTTTTTGCTTGCCAACTAAAGAGATAAAATCTGAATAAATGTAATATTTACCGCTTGATGTTTACTTATTGATTTTTCTATCCCTGGATTGAATTCTGGGTTATAAGAAAAAGTGTTCTTTAAAAATTTCATACTATCTTCTCTTAGGCTCAAGAATCATTGAAAAGTTAGAAACAGGAAATATAAACCCGAACACCACCTTTCCTAATTCAAGGTGTAAAGGGGCAGGGTATCTTGTGTGTTTGGGGTTGGAGGGGGTTGGGTGGGGAGGGTGGTTCATATTTCATCCCTGAAGACTGGATGGTTTGTTGGCTAGGATTTATCAAGCAAGAGGGTGGAGAATTCTGCAAGTGCTGGTAATTGTTTGTCATCCCTTGATCTTCCATTGATAGAACAGAGGAAGGAAGAGGTATCACTTTTTTTTCTTTTACATTTGGATAAATGTGATTTTTCTTTGACCTTAACATATTAGAATATTCAAGCAAGCAGATCTAATAGGTTATAGGTGTATACTGGCTGTAAATGTCCCTTCCAGAAGAGAGTTATGACAATTAGGCATCTTTGTTTGAACTGAATGTAGTTGTGAATATTGAGATGGCAATGGCCTGATGTGTTGATTTTTGTCTTCATCTTGTATGCTGGAATTGAAATGTTCAACCGACTTTCCTTGACATGCTTTTCATCAACCCTTTTCTTGAGAATGGGGTGCAGTGTATAAACCGGAAGTTATCAAGCTAAGGTCGTATTCCTGTGAAATTTCTATGATGAAGCATATAAAGATGTCAAGAACTTTTTTGAACTGAAGTAGTTGTGAATATTGAGATGGCAATGGCCTGATGTGTTGATTTTTGTCTTCATCTTGTATGCTGGAATTGAAATGTTCAACCGACTTTCCTTGACATGCTTTTCATCAACCCTTTTCTTGAGAATGGGGTGCAGTGTATAAACCGGAAGTTATCAAGCTAAGGTCGTATTCCTGTGAAATTTCTATGATGAAGCATATAAAGATGTCAAGAACTTTTTTGTTGCTTATGCTTCTTCTGTATTATCCCTTGAGAAAAATGTATCGCCTATCAATCCTTGGCTAAAACTAGTAATGTCAAATTCAAATTGGTTGGTTATCTGAGCTAATCATGTTCTTATCTCAGGAGTTCATCTTCCCAGCTTTAAATCGGCATTCATTATTTCTAGTGGAATTTAAGTTTTGTTATTTTTCATGTTTACTGGGGGATTTTGCATCATGCGTCGATTGTAGCCAATTTCCATATTGTGCATCAGAACCTACAATACATAGTCTGACAGTGCTCTATTCATGTTTGTTAAACAGTACAAAATGCAAGAAATCCATCTTGGTTCACATACTATAAGGTCCCATGGCCTCGCCGTTGCAAGGACACACATGCATGATTGGCTTATTCTTCTGTTGCTTGGGGTGATAGAGGTTATCCTTTATATTATTCATCCATTTTATCGCTTTGTTGGGAAGGATATGATGGAAGATCTTAGATACCCCTTTAAAAGTAATACGGTTCCTGTTTGGGCTGTGCCGGTAATTTTTGTTTGTCTTGCTTTTAGATTGAAGTCCTTATTTTCTGTATAAGTTACCCCCCTTCCCCCTTCTCACTCACTCTTTTCCTTACTTGCCCCCGATATTTAGATGTATGCAATGCTGTTGCCAATGCTGATTTTTCTCATTGTGTACATCCGTAGGAGGGATGTTTATGATCTTCATCATGCTGTACTAGGTAAGTGTAACATTTGGATATTTCTCTGTTTTATCAACAAAATTTTCTTCAGCGTGGTTTAAAAGGAGTATCATAACTTTAAAGTGATTACTAAAATTAGTTTGCTAATGCAGGCCTCTTATTCTCCGTTCTAGTGACGGCTGTTCTTACTGATTCGATAAAAAATGCTGTTGGAAGGCCTCGGCCAGACTTCTTTTGGCGCTGTTTTCCAGATGGAAAGGATGTATGCCTCTCTAGACCTGCCATTCTGGGAATATAAATTTTCACTACTACTACCTTGACTTTTTTGTAACGTCAATGTTTATTGAAAGAAACTCAACTTAGTTGCTTCACAGGCTTATGATAAATGGGGAAATGTCATATGTCATGGCAATAAAAATGTCATTAAGGAAGGGCATAAAAGCTTTCCAAGTGGGCACACCTCTTGTAAGTTCCTCTTATACTGTTGATTAATGTTCATATTTGTTGAGATAATGAATATTTTCAGATTGTTATAAACTTATAATACTCTTCAATTCTTCGTCTAGTCATTTTCACTCTGTAATCTCTGGAGGATTTTTGGATTCATTTTGTAGGGTCCTTTGCTGGGTTGGGTTTTCTTTCACTTTACTTGTCTGGAAAAATCAAAGTATTTGACCGCAGAGGACATGTTGCAAAACTATGCGTTGTTTTTCTCCCTTTATTGGTTGCATCGCTTGTGGGGTCTCTTAGGTCAGTATTGCTCATACTAAGGAGTTGTTTTCATTCACGACCTGCTCTATTTACCTTCTTAAGATTATCCTTTGTAGGGCTCGTAGTGTCTACATTTTGCTATTTGCAGTTCTTCCCACCACCATATGATGCCAATGGTACGCTCCCAAACTCTTTTCTTTTCTTCCTTATTATAAAGTTGATTCTACAATGGTTGTACCATCTCCTTTAGGAGTAAAAGGGGAACACATTGCCTTGTGAGTCTCAGACCCTGAGTTCTTCAATATATAAGTACCAGGAAAAGTATTAAAAAGTTGAGCTTACCCGTGTTAGATGCGAACCGATATCTGATACTCACCTGATTCTGTGTAACATGGCGTGTCACTCTTGACATCAATGATTGATGCATTGTTCCCAGATATATTAGTAATCTAAATTTATCTGAACTGTTGCTGAAAATTGTTTAAGGTTGGGGGACTTATGCATATTTTCGAGTATTGGAGGAGTCAATTGCAAATACGACAAACACAGCCAATGCTGGGAATCCGCACAATGCAATTTCAGGGGAGATTCAGATTGCGAACCAACAGGAAGGACGTCATGATAATGGATTTATGGGAATGCATTTAGCACGCGATGCCGATTCAACGATGGGAGATATGGAATCAGGGAAGAGCTAGCTCGGTGAGTTTGATGTATGTAAATGAGGAATAGGTATATATGCACACCTCCTGAGCTGGATAGGTATATACAGGCTCATCTCGTGAGTAGTTATGGGTTCTACTGCTATACCTTTTTATAGCTAATAACGGTAAAGTAGCAGAGATTGACTAGATGTGAGTACTGAACACAGTGAAAAAAATTAAAAATAAATAAAAGTTCCCCGTTATGCCTGTTGTGTTGTTATCGAACTGACTGGACCGATTTTGTTTCAAACCAAAATTCTCAATGAATAACAATAATTTCTTAACCAGTTTGAACCTTATTTGTGATTCCCCAATTGGGTTACCAGCTTGAACCTAAACCCCCAACTCCCAAGAATCCAACAAAACCTTCAGAAACAGTTAAAAACAATGGTGTATCTCAACATCAACCTAAACACAGCTAAACTCCAGATTTTGATGTCACATTCAAGCTGATACACATCATGAAAGATGAAGCATCAGTAGTTAGAAACTCAAGAAATCATTCAAGTCCGTACCATGGCTTTATTAGAAACCCAACATGCCTTTTCACTCTTTTAAGGACAAATATTCTAAAGCAAGGCAGTTGGATGTTCTTATTCCTTTCTCTACTCCCCTTGTGCTTTAATACTTCGATTTAAACCCTTTTTACTTTTTGTTAATTATCTCGGTCTTGGATTTATGTATGCGATGAATGATTAGTTGATGAAATGTTCGATTTAATTTTGAATTTGATACGTTTTAATTTTGAGCGTCTGCTGTGACATCTTTAACTCAATTTACGATTGAGTCAAATTATGCTACGTAACTTCAATTTCTCTCTCACTAATTGTATACACACACTTATACAAATAATCAAGATTATCCTCCTTTTATGGAGAAACTACTTTTTAACTATGATGAAAATACCTTGAAATTATAAGGAAGAATCTAAAAATAACTCATTTATTTTTTTCTAAAATCATCAAAGTGCACAAGCTACCTAATTAGAAAAAAATGATCATACTAAAAAATATTAAAATCTAAATAAATGTCGTCAACACTAACAAAAAAGTATATATAATAATGATGGTTTGTAAACAAACTGTCAACAATACAACTCAACTGTGATATGTTTTTTGTGTTTGTAAGTATCGATCAATATCCAATATGAGGAACCAAAGTATGAATAGTTCAACAAAATAATTAAATAAACATCAAATAGAGTAATAAATATATAAAAAAAAATACATACTACAAGAACATACAAAAAAATATATACTACAAGAACATATAAAATCATCCACCATTTTCATATAAAAATCAAGTAAACAAAAATAATAATAATATAATTATAATCATAGGAAAGGGAAGAGAAGAGAAAGGAAAGAAAAAACCAACGATCTATAATCAGTTTAAGATTGATACTGTCATCGATGTTGAAAAAATATAATAAATTAGAAGAAAAATGACATAAAAAAAGAGAGTGAACAGTTATATATTTTTTATTATGACCTATTGTTTTAAATAAATTGTTGAAATTTAGTGCGAACCAAACGATCTCAGTGGTTAAAAGGATGATTATCATTTCTAGAAGTCTTGGATTCGAACACGTCGTCTGCAATGGTGTACGAACGGTTATTATCAAATGATTAAAAGTCTTTCAAATAGATATTATCTTATAATCACCTCGTATTAATAAAAAAAAGGCTTAAGGGTCACCTTTTCTCCTTCGTCCTTATCGTATTTTCGTATCAATTTAGCCCTCGAAATTGCATCATTCTATATCTTATCCCTATCTTAAAACCCTGAATCCTAACTTAAGGTTTATAATTTAAGGTTTTAAGTTAGGAGTAGAGTATAGAATGGAGCAATTAGACAATTTTAAGGGTTAAATTGATGCGGAAATCAATAGAGGCGAAAGTGATAAATTGAGTCTACTACGATTGCAAAAATTACCCGCCCAAACAAAAATATTGTATTCTACCAGCCAAGATGACTAACCAGTATATTCTCCGCTAGTAACACATATAAATTTAAGGGAGGAATCTGCTACTTGAGAACCGTATCTGGTGGATATTAAGACAACTGAACTCCCAATGGCCAACATTACATGCACCATTCTAATTTCTACAAGAATCTTTTCATTTTGGCTCCATACATTCCTACTTTATTAGAATCTTCAATCACTCATTTCTTACTAAATCGTGAATAATATAACCCCAAAATGATTCTCGTGGCATCCTTTTCTACTTAAAATATGGGTTTGTTGTTGGAAGCCATGGACGCAAGAATTGACCAACCAACGTCTTCTCTCAACAAAATCGTTTTCACTTCATTAAATACAACACCATATGATACCGACGCCTCAATTGTCATTAATTAATTGATTAATATGATAATAATCATGCAACAAAACCAACAATAAGTTGGTCTAGTAGAATAAGACACTAATTTTTTTTAAGTAAGATCATTGAGTTGAGAGAAACGTCCCCAATCTAAGTTAGTCGGTCAATAAATCTAATACCGATGATTAACACTCGTGATTACTACCTTGTCATTGTGATTAGTTTAGAAGAAACTCATCCCAAAATATTATTTATTAAAATATGGGGAAATATAACAGTAGTGGTTGTTGGTTATATAACAAGATATATTAGGCGACATATATTTGATTGGAGAGGTCCATGGTTAGTTAAAGTTGTGAAATGGAAGCAACAAAGTTTAATAATTATTAATCTTACCTAAATATCACTTCACGAAAAGCATCCTAATGTTAGCTAGTAGATAAACTAGCAACTCAAAATGATTATACAACATTAGAAAGAAAATTGATATTAATGTATAGTTGGCCAAGAATTTTATTCAAATAATAGTAGAATTATGATAAACACACATATTATAAATTTAAGAATTAGAAAATATGGCCACTTCTCATCGTTTTAATCCCTTGCTATTATTTTAACTTCATTTATGAAAAGTTCATTAATAATAATTAAAATATTAAATTTAAGAATATATATATATATATATATATATATATATATATATATATATGCGCGAATCTCTCAGTTTATATAACATAGATTGTTATAAATTGTTAGTGTTTAACTTTTAATTTTGGGTTCACCTGTATAACTAATTTTAGGGTTTAACTTTTAATTTTTATAAAAAGATGATGAGATGAATCTATAATATAGTTGAACTTAAAACCAAAGTTTATCGTATTCAATTATGGATCTAAAATTAGAAATCGAAGAACGAGATCTAAAGTTTTAATTTCTTTTAAAATAATGGGTACGTAAATTTTTTTATTTAACACATCAAACTAAATTTAATTATTTTTTAAAAAATAATTAGATGCACTTGACCCTACGAAGGCTTAGTGCATCCGCCCCTGATCATATTAATTCATATTCAGCGATACTTTTGATAAATAAAAAATTAATGATATCTAATATTGTTCATCATGTATATTTGTCTATTTGAACAGTCGGGAGTAATCACATGATAATATTTATTTAAAAGAATTTAACCTATTGATAATATATATGCGTATGTTATTTTAACCTAATTCTCTTTAGAATTTGTTATTAAAATCATTTTATAAAGTTTTTTAAAATATATATTCTCAATAACGCTAAATTTAATATTAATATGTTAGTACGGATTAAGAAGACACAAAAATACAGGAATTATCGAATAAAAGAAAAATCCTGCCACCATATTTTCTCCAACTCACATTCTTTCATGCCACGCCAAACATTCCCTCCAACCTAACACCTTTTACCCCACTCACATCTGCTCTAAAATTCCCATATAAATATGTCTTTTTATTTTTATCCGTATTATTTCTCACCTTTTCTTCCTTCTACGCCAACTGCTAATTAGTTGACAGTTCTTTATTTAAGACCAGTAACGGTTTCGTAAGCCTCCTTGTCGGGAGCCAATTTTTCAAAGTCTTCATCATGGAGAAACCAACTTCTCCGTCTTCCGATCTAAACACCAACTCTGCCGTTGCCACCGCCCCAGTAGAGAACCGAAACTACGTATCGCGACCGCCGTCTCCTCTTCGATATCATTATGACCAAGATCTGACCACCGACTTCTCTTCGATGTACAACTTCATTTTCTCACCAAATTCTGCTCTCCCTCACTCCCTTTCCTTCACCCCTTCCTCTTCCTCATCCTCCGATGACCTGAAACTCGCATCGGACAATTTAGCCACCGAACTCCGCCTCAACCACGCTCGTCTCATCCTCGAGTGTCAGCAACTGAGTGACCACTTCGACCATTGCTTCTCTCGCCTAGAGGCTCTCATGGGAGAGCTTGAAAAGCTGCGTAAAGAGAACATAGATCTTAAGGTGGGCAATACTGAGTTGATCAAGTTATTGAACCTGTCGTCCCAAGCCTCCATGAATAACAGAAACCTTCAATGCGAAAAACTGCCGGATCTGAAGAAGAGTTCACTTCCGAAGAGTGATTCATTCAGGTCACGTAGTTATCTTCAGGTCAACCCAAGGCAAAGAGTCGTCACTCCCTCAGTGACGGTGAGTCTCTCTTGTATTTTCTAGGATGAATTTATCTCAAATAAATCTTTAAAATCTTGGAATATATGCAGCCACGAGTTAGTGTTGAATTAGTGGAAAGAAGGGAGAAGGGAATTGAAGTGGAGGTATACAATCAAGGGATGGTGAAGACGGAGATATGCAACAAATGGCAAGAGATAGGCTCGTGTCCTTACGGAGACCATTGCCAGTTTGCCCATGGTATCGCCGAGCTACGTCCGGTTATCAGGCATCCGAGGTACAAGACCCAGGTTTGCCGGATGGTTCTTTCGGGCGAGGCCTGTCCGTACGGTCATAGGTGCCACTTCCGTCATTCTCTTACGAACAAGAGCAACTATTAGTTTCGCCCTAATTCTTATTCTTCAACTACAAGGTTAACGTAAATATCTTGGAGGATTTCATACTGTCGTAACCGTTTTTCGGTTGGGCCCCGAAATTGGGTTTCGACTTGAAAAATATGGATTGGAGTCGCCACCGACCACTTTAAAACGAATTTAGGTGGGTCGGACACCATCTTACCTGATCTGCGTTGTACCAGAAACGTGTCGGGTTCGGGAGTCGGTTACGGCCAAGGAAGGATTAGCACTCTTGAACCGCCCTTTCGGTACCAATTAATTTACCAGTTGTCTTAATTGCGAAAAATTTAAAATTAAATTTAAAACCCGATTCGAAGTACTTACCTTTGATCGAATGAAATTTCTCTAAAAAATCAAAAATGTTAGACAAAAAATAATAAATTAATGTTAAATAAATAAAAATAAAAATAATAAAAACATAAATAATAATAATAATAAATAAAAAAATGAAATCACAGAAAAAAAATATAAATACGTATATAAAAATAAATTAAAGAGAAACAAAAGAAATAAAATACAAAATAAAAATATATAAGAAGGGTAAATAAAAATAATAATAAATAAAGAGTACAAATGAAATGGTGGCTGGCCATTTTGGTCCTGTTAGTCAATGTTTTAACGTTGAATTAGCACACAAGATTAGGATAATGTTTACAGCAGCCGCTAATGTAGCCTCTGATCTTGCATATTGACTGAAGTCCAACTCACGAATTTTCTCAAAAAAAATAAAATAAATAAAAAGTTAAAACAAAGATAATAATAAAAAAAATCGGGGACTAAATAATAAATAAATAAATAAATAAAAAGGGATTAAAATGTGAACATGTTAAATTTGGAATCCACATTGAAATGCAAATTAAACTCAATGACGAAATTATAAATATTACAAAACTTGAGTACTGCAGAGGAGGTTTACCCATAATATTTGAAGGATCAATGGGAGAGTTTACCCAAAGTTCAAAATCACTTGGGCATTTGCTTAATATCACGCAACAAAAAGCAAAAACAATGGCTTTTCTATTTATTTGCTTCGATGGCTTCTGCTTTCTCCCAACTCTTCCTTCATCGCTCAAGTAGTGGCCAACACGGCCGATCCTCCGATGAGCCGAAGCAAGCCACGCCTCGGCCACCCTATATGGGTGGGCATCCGACTCCAATCGCAACTCCGTTCGCAGCCATCGTCGTTGGAGCGGGTTATCAACAAACCCGCGAGCTTTGGGCTAGCAAATCTGGCCCTTCCGCCACCATGTTCGGCTATTCATGGATGTGGTAAGGCATATCTTCTCCGGGGAAGCACGACTGGCTTGGGTCGCGGATGGGCAACGCCGATTGACCGTGAAACCTTCCCCAGTCGGTTCTGATTTGGGTTTTACCGTCGTTTTCGTGTGGTGGCCTTCCGTTTAGGGCTCCGGCAAGGCCGAGAGTGTCTAGGGGCCACTGTCTTTTCCTTCTGATTCCCTTTTGTTTTTTAGTGTTTCCCCTCCGTTTTTTCAACCCGAAATCACCTTGCGTATTCGTGTGATTTTTGCCCAATCCCCCTTTTGAGTGTTCTAGTTACATGGAATTTATAGCCTAGGATTTTAGAGTTTGATCCCTATTAGAATTCTAACTCGGTTGTTTGTTGGTTTGTTATCTCCATGAAATCCTTACGCCGGAGAAATCGGAGTGGTTGAAGATGGGATATGCATCCGTGAAATCCGGGCTTGGGAAGTTCCATGCGGCGCTGCTTGTTAGGGTTCCTGGAAACCTTGATCTGAGTTGGTTTGTTGGGCATGTGGTGCCTGTTAGGCCTCGTGATTTTTTGTAGGGGCTGCAAATGTAACAAAAACAATAAATAAATAAATAAATAATATAACACATATATATATATATATATATATAATATGTTTTATATTAAATATTATAATGGGACAAAATTTGGTGTCTACAGCTGCCCCTCTTTGCTCATTATCGTGTAACGAAAATAGAGCAAAGATTAAAAGACACAAATTTCAGTCATATCGAATATCCTCTGTCCTAGAGTTGAAATCCGATATGGAAATTGGTTTGTCAATATGAATCACGAGATGACCCCCTTGTCGTGAGGTTGAGTCAAAACTGGAAAATTCTGAGCCTGAATCATTCGTCGTAAAAGTTGAAAACGAGTTAGAGATGGATGTTGCTTGTGTACACGATTCCCTTCATCGTGAAGTTGAAATCGCGGGTGACCCCTTCGTCGTGAAGTTGAGCCTGGAATTGGATATCCTTCGTCGTGAAGTTGAAATCCAGTATGCTGTTTCAAGGCCAATATCCTCCGTCGTGAAGTTGAAATTGGATCCGAAATTGGGAAATTGTTTATTGACAACCAGCGGTCCCTTCGTCGTGAAGTTGAACTTGCGTTGTCTGGAGTCCATTATCCTTCGTTGTGAAGTTGAAATTGGCTCTGAAATTGAGAAGTTGTTTGTTGACAACCAGCGGTCCCTTCGTCGTGAAGTTGAACTTGCGTTGTCTGGAGTCCAATATCCTTCGCTGTGAAGTTGAAATTGGCTCTGAAATTGAGAAGTTCTTAGCCAGCGGCCCCTTCGTTTTGAAGTTGAACTTGTGCTGTCTCGAGTCCAATATCCTTAGCCGTGAAGTTGAAATTGGATCCGAAATTGGGAAATTGTTTATTGACAACCAGCGGTCCCTTCGTCGTGAAGTTGAACTTGCGTTGTCTGGAGTCCAATATCCTTCGTTGTGAAGTTGAAATTGGCTCTAAAATTGGGAAGTTGTTTATTGACAACCAGCGGTCCCTTCGTCGTGAAGTTGAACTTGCGTTGTCTTGAGTGGAACGATATCCTCCGTCGTGGAGTTGAAATCGCGGATGGCCCCTTCGTCGTGAAGTTGAGCCTTGACTTGAATATCCTTCGCCGTGAAGTTGAAATCCAAGTATTGTATGTTACGGGTGGACACGATTCCCTTCGCCGTGAAGTTGAAACCGTGGAGACCTCTTTACTATGAAGTTTGGCTCCGAGTTAGATATCCTCCGTCGTGAAGTTGAAATCTACTCTCGAGCAAATTGTGTTGTTTCAAGAGAAACTTTCAATCTGTCAAGTTGGTCGAAGTGTAGCTTCTTGCTGCTGAGTTAAGCAACCAACATGAATCTTTAAAGGTGATTTTGAATCGAGTATCCTTCGTCTTGAAGTCGAAACTTGACTCTAAAAGCTGCAAAAAATTATGTATGTGGAAAATGATAAATATGATGCTCTAAAATGTATGCATAAGATGCATGTAACATGAATTGGTTATATTTTATCTCCTGAAAAAGGTCTGATAATTTGCATTAGGATGTTGAATCCCCAAATGATGCCCAATATTTGATGTTGAATCTTCAAAGATTCCCCAAATGTTCCTCATTTCTTGCTTCAACATTGATTCTGAGCATGAGTTTTGTGTCAAAGAGTCACATGTCATTTACCAAGATCCACTCTAGAGAGACTGTCTTGTTTGAAAAAATTTTTAATATCAATTACAAGAGTTTTAAAAAATGTTTGATCCAAAGTTTTGAAAATATTGTCACTTTCACGGTTTTACAATTGAGACGAATCATAAAACTAGAGTTCATCGGATATCAAAGAATTAATTATACTGTTAATCCTTCAATGAATTATAGCTATTTGACAAGTGCCAAGATCAAAGCTATTTTTGGGAAGTGGTTAAGTAAGGAAATGATTAAAAAAAAAACTCAGGTCATTATGTTTGGTGAAAGGTTTGACATTTTTGTTCATTTGATGCTTAATGGTTTGATGGGGTAGCTTGTATGCTCCTCTACTGGAAGTGTTCTCCGACTCCCAGCTTTCATGGTCACATTTGGATTGTGCGATGCCTTATCAAGAAATTTGTGTGATCGTCTCAGTTGCACAATTTTTATATTCGAGCCGCCTTTTCAGGTTTTCAACTCGAATCCTCCTTTAGTTTCAAGACGTTATTCAGGATTTACGTCTTGAACCCCTCTTTATTTTTTTCTCTACCATGCATTAATTATATTGTTTTTTTGCAAACAAAGATTAATCCTGATGGGCGGGATGAAATTTGAAGATATGATCTTCGAGTGAAGTGATTCAGTGATTCGGGAATGTTTGTGCTTGATCAATCTCATAGTTTGAAGCTTGATGTGCCATTTGTCTTTAGGGAATCTTTGTATGTGCTTTTTGTCCCTTTTTCTTTTGATTTTTGGTTCTTTTCTTTTTTGTTCTTGATTCTTTTTTTTATTTATTTTTGCTTCTTTGCTTTTTTGTTCTTGATTGGATCTTCGCACTTGCCATTTGGTCCACCTTTTGGTATCTCCTTTGGATTGATGCCTTCAGTCATGTGAGTAGATTTCTCTCACCTTGCCCCAGTATGGAGGGTGATCCTTGGTTAGGGTTGAATCAGAAGAAAAATACTATAGGCTCAAAAGGGGACACAAAGGATATATTTTCTCCTGTTGTGAAGGGATAAAGAAAGAAAACCGTTCATCATTTCATACATGTAAGTCTTCACAGAAGAGGTATCCCCAGGGGGATAGATTTTCAGGATTAATTCTATTCGCATGAAAATAATGTAGTTAATGCATGATATTTCGAATGATTTTTTTTTCTCGAGATGTCTCAATGTTCAGGCTCAATGCCTTGGGTTTAATGGTATTAAAATGTCAATTTTGAGTCTAAAAAGACAATGGTGTGACTTATTTGACTCAAGAGATGTATGGGTGTATCAAAAAGATAAAGGCAATGTTCAAGAATTTCAAAGGGAGGTAATGTCAAAATTTGGTTTTTGGTAATGACCATGGGTTATTTTGGGTAAAGAATCGAGGTATTTTATCTTGGGGTTTGAGACAGGATAAGAAAGGTCTAATCTTGTCATATTACAAAAATCTATAATTCTTGAAGAATTAAAAGGATCCTTAATTCATTTAATATTCGAAGAACTAAAGATTAAGATTTGTTCAATTGCTCCACCTTAGAAAGTAGCATAAATTCAATCCTTTAAAAGACTAAGAAAATATGAAAGATCGAAGACGTGTTCAAACAAAAAGATCCTCTAAGTGCAAATGG